AAAAGTCATACCTTTCAGTACGAGCATATTTGTTGTTTTTGTATATTACTCGGTTGAATTTCTAATCACATTCTCACTGTTTATAGGCTTCCTTTGCGATGATGTGTTTGGTGTCTGGTCTTGGTATCCTTATATTGATCTTTATACCGGGAGATCTTATATTCGTTTATCTTAGAAACAAACGCAATAAGCGTCTTCTTAAAGAAATCATGGAAAAGGGCACTCAACCTGATGTGGACGTTTCAGAAGACGATCTTGTTCTTCGGCCTGAAACTATTAAACACCTTAAGAAAATTCTTCAGCCTTACGAAAGACAATCGTTTTATCATTTGGTTTATGATGAACATGGAACCGGGAAAAATACATTGATCAGAATTTCATCGAGAGAAGTTGGACGTGGCGTCATAGATGTTGATGTTCCTGCAAGTTTAGATCTAACCAAGTTTGGGGACGCATTTGGAAAGACCCTTAACTTCACATTTGAAGAACATATCTCTCACACAAAACAACCGATTCGGAAAATATTTAATAAAACTGTAGGTAATGTTATTATTGATACTTTATTATTAAAAATAGGCCTTTCTTTGATCTCGATTCGCATCCTATAGACACATTAAGTAAATGGGAGAGAGCTTTAGATGTTTTTAAGCGTGAAGCTGAAATGTACAAAGAAAGAATGGAAAACTACCAGTTATCGTTTACGATAATGTTAGCCGATTAGTTGCAGACCATCCAAGAATCCTTGATGTTCTTCAGGACGACGCAAAGGATAATGCCGCCGACAGAAAATATGTCGCCGTGTTTGTCAGTAGTGAATGAAGTGTCTCGAGAAGAATGGAATTTAATTATTCGACAAATTTCTTTTACATTCCCAAAAAAATAGCATGACTTATTAATGCAGTTCTTATTTTAGCACGTAGTTGTTGGTCATGTGCATACAAGCCAGTGATAGAAATTGGCGATCTCAGTAAAAGGAATCATCTGATAAATAAGCGCAATATCAAAGGAGATGCAAAAAAATTTTATGAATTGGTTGGCGGGCGAATTATGGATCTAAAGATTGTGGCAGACAAATTTATAGATGGACAATCTCCTGAAGGTAGAACGGGTTCATTATTTTTTACCAATCAAATTTACGCAACTCTACTTAGTATTAATTGCTTGACTTAGACATTAAAAATTCGATTCTAAATGAAATTGAGAAGAAATTCAACACTGCCCGACTTCTCCGAAAGCAATTGCATCATGAAATAGGAAAACGCGTCATCCATGCGCTATTAGGCTCTAAAAACAAAGAGCTTAAATTTACAACATTTATGAAATATTTCAATAATTATAAAGAAGCAAATGAAGTACTAGAAAATAACGTATTTTCATATCATCCGGAAAATAATGTTTTTACATTTCAGTACCAATCATCAGAATCCTACATTCGGGAAAACACTGACATATTCGTTAACCTAATTGATCTCACACCCCAAGAAGTGACATCCTCCAATCAAACGACTAAGTAATCATAGAATCCACGATAGTAGAAATCGAAAAGGAAGATGTGATTATAATCGATTGGAAGACAAATTCTTATTTTTTTGATGTAAATAAAGTGATTTTTTCAATGCACAAATTAGATGAAATATATTACAAGGTAGGGCGTACACGTATCCTGGGCAATTTAATGCGAGTCCTTGCGTCATATTATTTCCTAAACTAGCTTCGCTCCTTGCTATATATATATTTAGAAGTAAATTAACCATCCACATGTTGACATTGCTCCCTGAGGCCCATTATAACGTGATGTGATTCTCCACTACTATTTGTAAACCATGATGAATGATTAGGAATAATCCCGTCAGTCTCTGATATAATCATAAAATTCAGAAATAAAATCGATATTATGTATCTCGATACTAGCTCTGTTATTATCTTGTATCGTCCCAATTATAACAGGGAAAGTTACATCCACTTCAGAATCGCTGAATTCAGACTCTGCCTCAGAATTGCCGGATTCGGATTCTATCTCAGAATATATTCATTTAGATCAATCGGGCTATTCTCCATATTTTTATCTGAAAAATGAGTTAAAATCATATCTCCATATCCATCTATTCTGATTAATTTGGGAAATAACATTTCATAGAATATATGTAATGAAGGAGGCAATATTTGTATACCATCTTCTCTCCAATAACATTTCCCCCTTTTCTCCCAAAGGGCATTTCTGCATATTCTATAACCATAGTAATCAATGCTAATTCCTCGCCCTGTTAACCACGAACTTCCTAAAACTAAGTCATATTCAGGTTTTTCAATAACTACGAAATGAGTGCATGTCTCGTTTAAATATTGAGGCAAGGATTTTAATTTGCCCGATTCAAATATATTGGGAAAAGAAACAGAAACTTTTTCATTACGAAGCCAACATCTTACCATTACTTTTTTTACCAGCATTTGTTGCTCATTTACCAAGTTCTTTTACTGCGGAAAATTTGAACCATCCATCCTAGAAATATATAAATCCATTTTTCGGGCAAGTGCCTTACTAATACTGTTATATTGAGATTTGGGGTCAATAAATGCTTCAACAGTTGTTTTACTATCAATAAATGTAAAGTACACTTAATCTTTTGCGAATTTCTCTAATCACTTCGGTTTTCCATATATATATAGACTGCAGCAATTTTTAAGATCTTGGATCGGAAGATACGTACTTATTATGAATGGTATTAATTCTGGTGGAAGATCAAGTAAATTTGGCATTGCTAATTAGTATATATCGGAAATAACTAATATTCGGATAATTAATTTAAGTACACTTTTAAATCTGTGTTAATAAAATAATTTAGTATTTACAATGACCAAAGCTGATATAATTATTGATTACATCTACTCTATCTAATGATGGAGCTTATTCGCATTTTGATAATATCGATCTTTGGCTTGCTTCATAAATGATCACCAGGTCTATAAAGCCATTTAATTACTGCATGTTGAATTATTTTAGCTAAATTAATATATTACTGCATGTTGAATTATTTTAGCTAAATTAATATTTTTTTTCCATAAACGATATGTCTTCTGGATAATTAATGACGAAAGATTTTTTATATCCCTTATTTAGGGTCATTACTTACTGTATATCTTATGACTGGTCAAATTATTTTTGATACGAAATACAAAATTTTCCCAGTAATCTTTACTATCTATTTCATATCCTAATTTTAATAAACGCTTGTGTACTTACTTTGATGGATAATATTTTGCAGATGTTTTAATATTGTTAACAATATAATTTACACTATATTCACTTAACCTATCTCGTACTCTGCTATAAATAATTATATATTTTCTATTTCAGACGTATCTAATATAGTTTTAACTGGTACTTTGTTAATTTCACAAGATAAAATTCTCATTTTGATCCTTTATTATGATAATACAGTATATTTAATTATATTCTTTGCTTCGTATTAATAAAATTAAGTTAAATCCAATGGTCAAAAATAGTTAGTTATTAAACAGTTGCCTCTGACAATAATACCCCGAAAATAATATCAAAATTCGTTAAACGAATATCACATAGAAAGATTTCGATTTCTTTTTGCCAATTACTGAAGATAGTAAAATCCGTGATTTGTCGCGTTCCAGACGTGGATTAAAGCAGAAGATCTACTATCTGATGGGGTACAATTCGATACTTATATGGTTTTAAAATGTAAATACGTAATCACTGGTAAAATAAAAATTTTCGTGTAAGTATATTAATTAATGAGATCACTCAATAATTTTAAGCGCATATAATTAATGGAATTTCGGTTCTATCATTCAATATAAGTTTCTGATCAAGGAAAGCTATTTCTGTTGTATTTGCTTGAATCCACGGATCTCCTAATAATTAACCTCTACCTGTTTCCATTTATTATCTTTAGACCAGCAAGAGGGGTTTTTTTATGAACCATTCCCAATATTAATATGTTATCTTTTATAGTTAGAAGTTTTGCTTCTTCTTTATGGGAAGTACCAATCTCCAAGCCTAATTCATCTACTAAACCCCTGACTATATATTACAATTGGTGGTGTATCTAATTTAGTTTTACTGTAACTGGTACTTTTTTAATTTCGCAAGATAAAATTCTCATCGTGACGTTTTATTATAACAATATATTTAATTCTGCATTTTTAAATTCATATTAATAAATAATTTAACATTTACAATAACTGAAGCTGATAGCAATATTGGACCGACTCGTCAGAATTACAAGAGAATGATATGGGGAAAGCTAAGATCGGAAGATATTAAGCAAATGATACAAACAGAACACTTCAAAAAGAAAGTTCTGAAAATTGTTTTTTTTTCAAACATCACTAATAGAATCAGTGAAAAAATTATCAATATCGATCAATGGTAATGATACAGAAGTAGTTTGTGATTCGAGTTCAAAATGTCAATCATCACTTATGAGATTGCGAAAAAATTAGATTTTTAAAAAGATAAAAGTTTACTCAATATATAAATGAATACATAAAGTACAATATTAACATTTTTACATTATTATCATTCCACCTGATAACTAGCACAGCCTTGACATGTTAGTTTTCTTTCCCTGAAGAAAAAGCAATATGCCACAAGGTAGTTTATAGCCTATCAAGTTTTATTGTTACTGAAGCTTCATCCCTATACTATAGTGATAGCTACTCTGTATAAATGTAATTCAAAACAATAATAAAACAAGGCTGCTCCAGTTAAAAAAAAAATAGTACAAATAGAATATAAAATTGCTTAAATAAGGTATAAATTAAAATAAATAATCAATTAATAAAAATTTTTATAATAATTTTTTAAAAATTTACTGTTGCAATATTTTTAGAGTTTTTTAGAAAATAATAAATTTTATTTATTATAATATATATATATATAATTATATAATTATATTTATTTCTATTACTATTTTATATAACCATATTTTGCTTTAATAATATCATTAATTCTTCTAGGCATTGTTTCTATATATTCCTTACATATTTTTTCAGTTATTTTATTCTGAATCTCTGATAAATTATCCCAGAAAGTTTTTTTATCATTAATATTAATTTCTAAATTGGTAACTTTCCTTTTCACATTATTCCAAATATTTGAAATTAGATTTAAATCTGGGAATTTTAAAGGTCAATAAATAGTTTTAATTTTGTTATTTTTTAACTATCTTTGAACTATTTTTGCTTTATGTTTAGGATTATTATTGTGTTAAAATATAATATCCTTAGAAGCTAAATTATAATATATTAATAAATACATTAATTCTTCTTTTAAAATTTGTTTATAAAGCTCTACATTAAGATTTTCTTCAATCTTAGATAAATATTCTATATCATAATAAGTAAAACATTCTTATATTTAATGCTATCTTTACTAAATCTAATTATAAAAATTATATGTTGATCCTTTAAAGGTTCTGCAGATTTTCTCCAACAATATTTACATCTTTTAGTAACAAAAATTTGAAATTTAGTTTTATCAGACCAGACTACCATACTTCAATCTTCTATAGTCTAATTTTATGTAATTTTGCAAATTCTAATTGGATTTTTTATGTTTTTCTCAAAAAGATTTCTTGCACCATATATATGCTTTAAATCCATTTTGCTTAAAAATTCTTTGAATTGTGTTAACACTAATATTTCTTTTTCATATTTTATCAAGGATCTATATATATTCTTGACTATTTTGCATTTTTCTTTTAAAATAATTCAGATAATAATATATTCCTCTTGTAGAGTAAGTTTAGGTGGATAACCAGAAATAGATTTGTTTGTTTGTTTCAGGATATATTTTTTAAGTCTAGATATAGTGAAATAATAAATATTATTACCAATTTTGGCAGCAACCTGATGTAAACTATAAACTTCCTCTAATAAGGTAATAGCCTTTACCCTCTTCTCTATAGAT